ATGTCCCCTGTTTAGTGACCCCTGTTTATAGATGAAAGTTGAGTCCATATTCTGCACCCCCCTCAACCCACCCTTTTCCCCCACCTTGCAAATGGCAAGTGGCAGAAATAGTCCTAGGTGACAATAAGCTTCCGCTGGCAGTTTCTGTTTTCACGCCTTTCAAGGAAAAAAAATGCTTTAAAATAAATCATAGCTTGGGAACTGTTTACCATCCTTCACACCCACCCACTTCTTAAAAAAAAAATACAGTAGACTGTGTATGGTGGATTCCACAGAGAATTGTTACTGAAACCAGGAGAGAGAGGGGTGGCGGGGAATCAGGTCATGAAGCCATTTTCCCTTCCTGTGGTGAAAGGTCGTAATGTGTGGTATTTCACGGTTTTATATAAATCTTGGTTTAGGATGTTGAACAGACTCAATAATACATGTGCTTTTGGCAAAGAAATCTATTCAGAACCCCATAAATCAGAAGTCCAAGCTAACAACAGCGCAGAAACATTTAATTGCTGTAAGAATCGGACTCTCCTTTCCTTTAAAGAGAGATTCGCGTAAATTCGGTTTGTATCTTCAAAGTTAGAACTCGAAGTATAAAACAGGTTATTACATTACAGTGGGCAGCCCTGGGTGACTGAAAGGGAAAGGGTCCTCCATCCCTCAATCACTCATACCTCTGGCAGTAGATACCTTGTATACTTTCTGCCTTGCACCACTAAGAAATCTAAAGCCGGTCAGAGGCAAAAGAAAACGCCAGGGATGCGGGTCGCTGGTACAGGCTGCGTAGAAAAGATTTAGCTAACATCACGCACACCGCCAAGATTTGGGCTATTTTCTCTTGGACTGGGACTGGGTCAAAAATATGCAAGGTCTGTGGGCAACCTGGAAATAAGAGGGTTGGGGGAGCTAGGGACCGGAGTAAGTCGAAGAGCCCCCTCCCCAAGCTCTGGGCTATGACAGCCTGCACCCAGCACACGGGGGTTGGGGGAGGGGAGGTGTTTGAGAGTGGAGGAGGTGGGGAACCGCAGGCTGATCCTCGCGGGTGGCGTACTTCCCAACGACGTCTCAGAGCCACTGCCCTCAGGGTGTGCCTTCTCCGAGGACTGGAGAGCTCTAGGTTGGCCAGATCCCAGCGGCCAGTGGGAGGCGCTGGATCCAGGAGGTGGTGAAGAAGAGACCGGGATGGGGAGGCTGAGTAGTCTTAAAGGTCCCTTTTTGAGAACAACAGGAGGCAAGAAGCAGAGAGGGAGTGCAGAGCACTTTCCAACAGGCATCCAGGGCAATTGGAGCTAGAGAGTGCTCGATACTGAACTGTGGAGGCGGCTGTGTGCCTGGCTCAGGCTTGCTATGGGTGACTCTGAAAGGGTCAGCCAGGAGACCGCGAGCCACTGGGCGTCCGGTGCGATCAAAGGAGCCATAGGAGGCTAGCTGGCGCGCCTTGGGTTGTGGGATAAGGGGCGGGAGAGAAAGGGTTGTCCTTAGGCGGGGAGATACTGATCTGGCCAGTGTCATTGGGAGGGGATGCGTGTACATCTTTGCGTGGGTCAAAGCTTTTCTATGCAAGGCCGAGCCCTAGGGAGGATCCGAGTGGGAGAGGACTGACTCCCGGGTAGGTACTGGGGGGGGGGGGAGAAAGAGAGAGAGGATCAAGGGCAGCGAGGTCTGCGGGTTCTTCAGTGTGTGTGTGTGTCTCAGGCCCTGTGGCTCAGCACTGGAGCCGCCTGCCACCCACAGGAATGCAGCTTCCCTCGGATCCCCAGGCCGCCTCTTGTCCCACAAGGAGGTGGCCGCCAGGAAAAAGGGGGAGAATGGGGGGTAGAAACCCGCCTAGCCCAACCCAAGACTCAAACAAAGGCCAATTTATCTGATCTTCAACAGGAGGTCCCGGGAGTCGGCCAGGGCACCGAAGAAATCACTCAAGCCCTGCCAACATGCCCTGGGCCTCCGAACCTTTGCAGGGAGATCTCAAGATGGAGATTGAAAGTATTGTGTTGGATGGGGGTCTACTGTAAAGAAAATTAGTTCTGAGGTCGGCTTAATTCATCTTGGGGACATTAGACAGAGGACTAGGTAAGTGAGGAACCGAAAGGGGAGGCACACGTGACTCCTACTTGAAGTCCAGGGCGAGTGCGGTCTGGCAGCACCAAAATGGAGCGCTGTGCACTTGGTACACACAGGAAGAAACAATGGAGAGGGAAGGAAGGTGAGAGGGAGGGCAAGAGAAACAGATATTTTTAGACTTTGCTGAGGATCTGTTATTTTTACATCCTTGGGCGCAGGACTGCAGGGAGTTAAATTCCCCGGGGAGAATCCCCGCGGTGCCAGGAAAGCCCGTTGCGACTCACTTGGCAGAACATTTTTGTTCACTGCTCCCCAACCAAGTTAAAAAAAACCAAAAAACAAAACAAAAAAAAAACACCTCTCAATTCAAGAGACCACTACTAGTGAGGTTCACACAGGGGATGGAATCCTAAGACTAGGTCCCCACTCCCCCACCCTCGACCCCCACCACCGCCGCCGCTGCACTAGGCTTTTGGCTTAGCAGCAAACCACCTTTGGTGTCCTTAACAACAAGTAATGCCCCAGCTTGGGTCAAGGGTGGTGACTACAGAGCATCCTTCTTTTTCCCTGAGAAAAGTCTGGACCCGCCCTTCCCTCCGCTTGGCTGAATCTGGGGGTCGGAGGTAGTGAAGAAAACCACACACACCCCTTTCCACCAGGGATGAGAACAGAGATGACATCCACCCTCTTTGAATGCCAAAATGGAAAGAGCTTGTTCCAGACACATTTTTGACACTCTTGGGAAACCAGTGGGTGGGAAATATTGGGCGGCGGAGGGGGGGGACTGTGCTGTGGATGTCCCTCGCCCCTGCTAACCTTTTCAAATACACACTCTGGGGTGGGGACAGGCCCGTGACCACCAGAAAGCCAGGTCCTGGAAATCAAGACCCTCAGAAAGCGCTGGGCTTTTGATTAACGGAAACTACTGAAACCTTTTTAAGCAAAGAAAGAAAAGCAGAAAACAGACACCTTCGTCTCCTTCCCCATTCTACTCTGGGCCACTGCTGAAAACAGACTGGAGCCTCCCCTAACACCACCATTCCCCACAGATGGAGTGGAGTGAGGACAGGGGATAAAATTTTTGGAGATAAATTTCTGTTTAGGCAGGGTTCAGCAGCCCAGGTTGCCTAGAAGTGTATGTTTGCCATCCCCAAGGTCCACTGAGTTCCAAACTGGTGGGCTTGGTATCGCTTGTGGAAAGAAAGAAAAGGAAAAGAGAAAGAAGAACATATGGCTGATGGGAAAAGAGGAATGGGAAAAGATTGGAGAGACGGAAACTGACTCTGTAAATGGTTCAAGGGCACACAGCTTGCCTTTTCAGTTCTCGCTGCTGGAAGGGTCCTCTCTGAAATCCTGAGATGAGAAGATGCATTTTTTCATGTTCTAATCCCCCTCTCCAAGAAGGCTCTTTTGTCACATTTATTGCAGCTGACTTCCTAGCTGTGGAATATTTTCCATAAATCTAGTAATTTCCAACATTGCATGTTCCTTTGGTGTCATAAGGAAATAGATTTAGGTGGGCCAAAGGCCAGCCAGCCACAAAGATGCCTTTAACTCAGGCCTGGGGGCACAACTCTGGAGCCAGGCTGTAGCTCTGGCCATAGTCTAGATATTTACATACAGGTGTAAGGGAAACACAAGTCAGGGGACAGGTTGCTCCAACTCCCATATGCCTGCCTTAAAAATGGCTTCACAAAGAAATCCTAGCAAACATCCCATTTCCAACGCCCATTTGCCTTGCCCCTGTTGTATGTAAAAGCAGAGCAGGAGATCGTCAATGAGGCACGAAGTACGGATGCCCATGAAAGACAATTATATTAAGAACACTCTTTCACCTCCTCATATAAAATGAAATCAATATAGGGCCTTCCCTCCCCCCCCCTTATTTTGAAAAGGAATTCTCCCCACCCCATATTTCTCCTTTGGCCCGGTGATTCAGGTTCACTATTGTTCTGAATCCCTATGGTATTTTCTTAACTGAAAGAATCTGGCCAAATGTATAGTCATGCACATTAGGACTCCAAGGCTTAAGGTACCACTTGCTATGCACCAAACATTTCAGATTTTGGAAAAGAAAATAACAGGAATGAAAGCAGATTTCCTTTTCTTCTCCTTTCTCATCGTGGAATGCTCCTTTTAAAAGGACCCTAATTTGTCTAACTGCAGTCCACATGCTGATGGGTGGGGGAAGTTCCCCCCAGAATCTCTTTGAGCTTAGAATTCCAGGTTATTGAGGGATTTTTGTTGCTTTTTTCCCTCACACATGTTAGGAGAAATGAATTTAATTTCAATATTCCTTCCTACCTGAAACATTTGGAGTTATATTTAATACCATCTAAATGGTTTTGTGATTAGAGGAAAAACATCCTAAACATGACAGTACTGTAAATATACGTGCAGGCAGATACATAAAATAAAGCATCCAAACCAAACACATTTCTGCAACCATGAAGCTCCTGATTTCTGTTTTGCACTGTTGGATTTCTGGATAATTTGTTTGTTCTTAACCATCTCCATATAACCTTACTTGCCAGTTATCAGGGGGCCAAAAGGGAGCAGTTATCATGGTCGAAATAATTTTATTTATCCAGAATATACAGTTTAATTCCTCTATCTACACTTATTTACACGGTTAAAATAACATTGAAAAAAGTCTTTTGAAAAGTTGAGGTCATAGATTTCAAGGCACCATTGATAGTGTCCACAGTTGCGCAAAAAAGGTTCTTTTCGTAAAAAAGGGGGCGGGGTCCTTTGAAATGCAATAACTTACATGCAAAAAAACAAAACAAAAAAACAAAACAAAAACAAAAAAAACCAAAGCTTTACACATGATTTTTTTTGTTGTTTCCATTGTTCAAATATCCCCGTATGAATTCCTTTCTCTCTGATTTCTAAACCAGCAAAAACACTGTAGTCCCAAAACTGAGCAAGAGAGAGTAGCCCATCTAATAAAGCGTCCCGGAGGCTAGTGCCAGCGGGTGCTGCAAGGAGCCCGGCGGTGGCAGGTGGGAATTGATTGAGCTGGCTGCACTTGGGTACCAGGAAGCCGAGTTCTCCAGGTAGCTGGACGCAGGGGACTGGTTGGAGGTCGGAGGGTGGGCATGAGGGTGGTGGCTGAGGGAGCGGGAAGAGCCCTGGGGCTCCCACACCGCTGGTGACTGTGGCGAGTTACACGCCATAGGGTCGCTGGAGCTGGGACTGTGCTCCGGGGGCATCTCCCCGTTTTTCATGATCTTCTTGATCTTGGATCTTTTGTTCTGAAACCAGATTTTCACCTGGGTGGGGAACAAAGGCACATGTTACCGGGACACTCAGAGGTTGCCCGCGCCTTTCCCTGAACGACGAAATGAAGGTTCTTCTGGCCCTAGACTGTCCTGCCCTGATATCTACCAACACCAAGCCGCCTATCGCCAGGAGGTACCACTTTCAGCCTATGAAGTGGGAGGGACCCACAGTGGGAGCACTGTCCAGCTCAGCTGGCGCCGGCCTCAGCAAGGGTGCTACCCCAAGGCTTTGTCCTTTATTCGCTCTAGACATGGTCTCACTGTGGGCCCGTGCACCAGTGCACTGGGGAGGATACCTCTCCTGCTCGAAGGGCAGAGTCCTCCCCCCCCGGGGGGGAGGGGCGTGGGTCAGACTGTAGGTGCACTATGCCAAGGAAAGGAGAGGTTTTCCAATCTCCTGCCCGACTCCCTTTAGTCCCCTCAGCACTGGGAGGCCAGACTCTGCCTGAAGCTCTGGGCAGCGACGTGAACATTCCTTATCCTAAGCCCCAGCGGGCTGGAGTGGGAGGGAAAAGAAGGGGACAATCCAGGAGGGTTTCCCCGTACAACAGCGCCCCCCACCTTGCGACCTTCAGGCTGCTGAGGCTTCCAGCTGCCTCAGGGACAGGACCGACCAGGACACGAAGATCCTGGCCTTTGCTTGGCTGGAGACATCACCAGGTCAATAGTACCTGGCAAGCTTCTCATTGTGAAGCGACCTAGACATTTCTTAAGAACGCGAGACAGATTCCCCCCAGAAATAACGCTTCTCTTGTTTTCACTATGGAGCCTTGATCTCCAGCCCTTGGTGGCTAAAGTGGGGGCTAAAGAGAGGGCGGCAACTCAGGACAAGCGACGAGTCCCACGCCCAACCGCCTCTTGGGCCTGGCTCACGGAGGGAAAGATGCAACGGTTGATGTCTTTTTATCTGTAAATGTCTGCGAAGTGCTAGAGAATCGGCTCCAGCCAGTCGGAACCGAGCCATGCAGCCCAGCCCGGCTTGCAGGCGAGGCGGGGCCGGTACCCGGCGGCGGCCGGATTTACCTGTGTTTGCGTCAGTCCTAGAGAGGCGGCCAACTCCGCGCGTTCTGGCAGGGCGAGGTACTGAGTCTTCTGAAACCTTCTCTGTAAAGCGGCCAGCTGAAAGCTGGAATAAATAGTCCTGGGTTTACGAACTTTCTTTGGTTTACCATTCACCATCCTCACCTCTGGCTCCGCCACTTCTTTCTCTAAACAATCAAAACAGACGAGGTTAGAGCTTCCAGGCAGACAATGGCTCTTTTGCACAGGCCCTCAAATCACCGAGGTTTTGTTTGTTTTGAAATATGTAGTCATCTTTCTCTTTCCCAATATCACAACCTTGACTTTTCAAACCCCAGTGAAGTCTGTTCCTTCCTCAAATCATACATAGAAGAGCTGGCGAGTCTCCTAATAGCTACAGCATACGTGGGGGGACTTTGTACACATCAGGATCTTCGCTTTAGGGATGGAACCCTTCGGAGATGCTTATTTCTCTCATTATTTTTCCCTCCCTGCATTCACCTTATGCATTTCTGGGATGCGAATAGCCACTCCACTCCCAGGGCGTCAAGCGAGGAGGCCCCTGGGCCATGACCCCCGCTTCTGTCGGCGTCTGTTCAGGCGCCCGCAGAGGCTAGACGCTTGGGCAGGGAAGACGCTAGCCAAGGTCTCCAAAGTTCAAAGACCGACAAGCAAACTATGTTCCTTCACTACAGCGGCAAGCGGTCGGTCGGGGCTGCGGCAGACAGAGAGCCGATTATGTAGTCCCCATAATCTCACTGCAGATCTGAGAGGGCACAGATGTGTCTGGTTTCTTTCACAAATAGGCTTAATATGTTCTTGACCAAAAAAAAAAAATCCCGCCCCCACATGCACGAATACAGAGACAGCAAGAGGAGCAGACTCAAACTTCAATCAATCAATGTATTGAAAAGGAATCTGTAGTAAGAATATTTTCGTAGTAAAGGGGAGGCAGCTGGGAAGAATTCTCACTGTTACACATGTAGCCCGCTGGGATCCCGCGAATCCGTGTTTTGCTAACGTGTCCCTAGGCCACATGGCCCCTTTCCCCCTTCAGTCCTGGAAGGAGTGGAAAAGCCGGTGAGTGAAGCAGCTGCCAGAGGAAGGGTGGAGAAGGAGAGAGGGCTGTGGTCTCCACTCTACTGGAGTAGGGATGCTAATATTAGCAGCCTTATTACTGTGTCGGTGAGGAGAGATCAAAATCGACTAGTAAAACTTCTCCACTGAGACTTCGAGCCTCTCATTTACCGCCCAAACTCTCTACGCCACTGTAATTCTCTGAGGAAGTTTTAAGGTGGACAGAAAAGGGAGGTTGTGGAGAAGAAGGGGGCAGATAAATTCTAGGCACCTATGGAGAGAGCGCGCGCGCGAGGGAGGGGGTGGGGATATCCTCTAACAACGTGAACTCTCAGCAACCCTCCGCTATTTTAAATGGCTTTTTGTATTTAGAAATACCTTGAATAAACCGCAAAGTTCCCTGCTCGCTTTTCTCTGTCAGGCTGCAGCCCGCCGGCCCTCAGGCCACCCGGTGTGCTGCGGGCACCCTCCCTGCAAGGCCTCGGGGCGCTTCGCAGGCTAATCCAGACTAGATCTCACCAACTCAGCACGTTCACCCAGAATTCCAACTAACTTTCCTTTTATTACGCAAACACCACTGGGGCTGCTTGATTCTTTCTTTCCTCCCAATCCCTAGCCTCTATCCAGCCAAGATGGCTTTCTGGCTAGGCCAGCTAGAAATCCAGTTAAGAAGGGACCCCCCGAGTGATGCCAAAGGGAAAGCACCCGATTAAACCTCTTTAAGGATCCTCCATTGACCGCCCCCCACCCCCAGTTGGCTGTGTGAGATGCTGTCCTGTTTGCAGTCTCAGGCCCCCACTTCCTTCTGGGAAGCACCCTTCTATGGGTGCGGACAGCGTGGCCCTCATCTACCATACAACTTCGCGCCCGCGGGGTTACGAATGCCCTGGGTACCTGCCTCCCGCCCCCGCGCGCTTACCTGGCTGGCTGGTGGCACTCGGGACGCGGTTGTAGGCGCCGCCGTACTGGTGGTAGGGGCTGGCGTAGCCGTAGTCGGCATAAGCCTTGGCCGGGTAGCCGGCTGCGGAGCCGTTCACGCCGTGGTACTGGTACTGGTAGGGGTTGAGCGCTTTGCCGTAAGAAGCAGAGGTAGGAGAGCAGTAGCCGTGCGGGGCGGCCCCCGCGGGACTGTAGTAGTCAGAATCGGTGGCCGAGGACTCGGGCAAAGTTGGCGATTCCTGAGACGGGTGGTGCATGGCGGCGGACGTCGGGAACGGAGCTTGGAAGTCGCCGGATCGGATGCTCGGGACTCTTCTGTCAAATACTCCTGTCATAGCTCCCGGGCGGTGGCTGTCCTTCTACTGCGGCGGCCGCTGCTGCCTGAATAGGCTGTGGAACCGCTCTGCTCTAAGCAGACATGGCTGTGGGAGCGAGGGAGGAGGAGGAGGAAGAGGAGGAGGCGGCGGCGGCGCGGCGGTGGGGAGGAGGAGGCTGGGAGTCGTGGAGGCTCTGTCTCCCGCAGGCTGACTGCTGGCTGAGGCGCAGCACAGCCTTGGTTAAATCCTTAATTGCGCGCTTACGCACAGCGGGGTGGATCGGGTTCCATTGGCCAGGGCCTCGGGAGCAGAGCAACACCCTAACTCGTCCAACTAGTTTTAGCACAACAAAGCATTGCTTAAAAAAAGAGAGGGGGGGCGTACAAGGAGTGTGTGTGTGTGTGTGTGTGTGTGTGTGTGTGTGTGTGAGAGAGAGAGAGAGAGAGAGAGAGAGAGAGAGTCC